AGCAAGATCTCTTTAAAGAGGCCAATTTGTAGTCTCATGGTGTGTGGGAATGTTTTGCATGTCGCTGTCTGCCAAAATAATTTGTCAGCAGGGTGAATACCTTCAGCTGTGCATCAGGTGTTAAGATGCAACAAAAGTCATTAGGAGCCCTCAATCTGAGTGCTTAGGGACAGGTGGGTGTGAAAAGAGGAGGCTAAACTCCCACCCAATCCACTCTGGAGATTTACATTTTAAAAAATAAAATAATTTGGTAATAAGTACTATAGGATGCAGTTCAGGATGTACTATTCTATTTCCATCACGCACTGAAGGAGCAGAAACACAAACCTGCTTCCTCAGATGTGCTGGCTGTTGATAAAACCCCTTTGCAATTCAGCTCCTCAACAGCAAAAGCTGGAGACTTATTTCTGGAAGAAAACAAATGCTATCTCCACTGCACTCACATTCAAAAATGAAGTCTTACACAAACAAATCAAATCAAAATTCCAGTTCCTTCTTTTCCTGATTACTCCTAACAAGGGGAAAAGCAAAAGACAATGTCTTAAAACTCAGTATTACTGGTAAAGGGGTTGCCAAAACAATGTGTCTAGGATCTGTATGTACCAAGTATTAATGACTGCTGCAGAAATTTTAATAAGTAACAAATATGACTTTTCTACATCCCAGTTCTCTGTAAGTGCAGCAAGACTTTGGCAGCAGTGACATCAAATCCTGCTAATGAATGAGGACAGTGGTAATTAAATGAGGTCTTCCATGAATTCAATAACTTAAAAGAAGAAATTGCTAAAAGTTCATGTTAAACATTTTTCAGAGTCATCTGATTTTGTCTGTTTGCAGAGATCATTAAGATGATCCAGAGGGCTGGAGCATTTCTTCTATGAAGAAATACTGAGGGAACTGGGCTTGTTCTTTCTCAGGAGAAGAGAAGGCTCCAAGGAGACCTTGCTGTTGATATGTGGTGACAATTTCCCTAGTCCTGTTTCTGTCTCCTCAGATGTCAGAGCAAAATGCCAGGATTTCCTCATGCACTTAATGGTTTCTGAACATATGAAATTCTCTATTCCCAGTGCCTGGGCCCAAGAGAATAAAACAATTAATAGCTGTCTTCTTTGTCAAGAAGTGCTCCAGCAATGAGAGTAAGGGAAGGTTTACAGAAGCAAGTGGAGAAATGCTTCCTAATGATAGATAATTTTTAGCTTCCATCTAGAACATAAGCGAGATTTTAACTCCTGTGACTGCATTATACTGACAATAATGAGAGCTTCCATAATACAAAACCATGTCTCTCACTGAGGTGCATCAGTTTTTACCACTCAATCTCAGTGAGGAACTTTGCTTTCACTCAAAACAATTTCTTATCCACTTGCTACATACTTTAATTCCTTTTTTTTCTTCACATTCTTCAAAGTACTTTTCTTATTTAACACATATTTACCAGTCCCTGAAACATTTTCAGTACTCTTTACATCATATTTTCTCTTCGAGTTCTTATCCTTCCCTTCACTAAGACCTTTTTTAATACCAATTTTCTTGCAAGACCTAGAGAGTCAATTTAGGCAAGTCTTTCTCATGCTCCATTTTAAGGTAGCAAGAATGATGCCTTACAAACTATTTGTAAAAGTGCTTAAGAGAAAATAAGGGAAAGAAAATGCTCTTGAGCACAAATGGACACTGCTTTTTGTTAATTAATAATTCTATTTTAAGGACTATACAAGCATACGGTGAAAGTAAGATATGACCTATGCTGTCTCACAAACAAGACTTGCTCAAAAGTAACCACTACTCATGTAATGTCTGGGAAAAGACGTTTATACAGCTGTACAAATAGGCAGTTAAGACATGTATTTTACTTATATAGCTTAAGCTTGTAAACTAAATCTGAACTAATCCAGATTTTACTACCAAAACAGACTTCTTTGCTTATTTAAGAGCTGGCACTGAGTTTTCCAGTGCAAAAGTTTTGGAGAAACACTTGGATTTTTTCAATCCTTCATCAGCTTCTCAACCGTCAAATGTTCAGTATCACCAGGGAGCTCCTGCGCAACATGTTCAAATACAAGTGGCTTCAATATTTTCTTGACTTCTACTTCATGAGCATTCTTTCTTGTTTCTGCATGCAACCTTTGATCCCTGATGTTCTTCTCCCCTTGTACCACACAGAGATTTCACTTTTTTAAAAAAAATAACAAACATCTTCTAACATCTGTACAATAGCACTGATTTTCTGGGCAATTATCTGGTTTTTGTGGTTGAGTTAAAACACTTGGCAGTCAGCCTTTTCCTGCTTCCCTCTTATGAACTAGATTGTTATTGCCTCATAAAGCAGTGCCTGGGTGATATTGCTGGATAATTAATGTCTATTTAGTGTAAAGGGCTTCCAGCCCCTATAGGTGTTTTTTCTTCCTCTCTCTGACAGGGCCAGATGGCACTCTGGCCCACCTTCAACCACCCTTCACAAGCTATGCACTCAGTTCATACAATGCATCTAGCAGCCTTGGAATAACATTTCCTTTATGTATGCTGAATGGTGAGATACTAGAAGAGTAGTTATTACTGCTGTAACAATGGGAATATAACAATGTAACAATGAGAAAATTGGCTATTTCAATTAAAAGACAGATTAAACATCTAACAAGGAACTAATCACTTTTTCATTTTTGTGTGTAGTTGTGTTGCTTGTTTGTTTTTTATTTTCTATCTCTCATCATATAACAAGTTGACAAACATAACTAGAAAGAGAAATGGTCAATAATGAACGGATGAAATAGGCTCTGAGTCAGTGGTCATGCCCACTTCACTGCACCACTAGATCACAGGATAAATCAATGGTGAATCCACTCATGTTCAAAGGAAGAGTCCAATTACATGTTTCAGTGGAGTCAGTCCAGAATACTTGGCTGTTTTCAAGATCAAGCACCAGCATTACAAGAAACTGTCCTCCCACTGGTGCTGTATGCACCTTTCACACTGATTTGATGTTCCTTTTAATATACAACATGCCCCAGCTCCTGGCTACTGCATCAAGATGCTGATTTTCATGGTTTTGCTGTCTACTTATCAGTCAGTCACACATCAAAGAGTCTTTGGAAAGGGTAGGGGAAGGAAGAGCAAAACATGAAATATGATTGTTAGTTAAATGCCACCTGAAAATTAATTAACACAAAGCTCACCTGATTAAAAATAATAGTGTAAATAGTTTTTTTCATAAAGATCACTTCCACAAAACCATTACAGTCAAATAACTTTCTACACCAAAAGTTTGTGATCAGCAACAATGTCACACACCATAATGATTTTCAGAGAAAATATTGTCTTCTTTAATTAAGTGAAGTCTGTTAGCAAACTTCGTCTTTTTAGTTATACTACTCATTTCTCAGAACGCATTACTCCATCTTAAGGAGCTCGTATACAGCAATGTCAGAGACAATCTGAATAGCCTGCACCCATACTGTGACCAACTGCAACCTAATCTGCTCATAACATCTGAGGAGGGTAACTTTCAACTCATGTTTGAAAGGGAAATGACCAACCTCGGTTGAACAACTGAAAGACATTCTATCACAGCAAGTCCTACTCCATTTGCCCTACTGACAGAATATAGGATCTCATGCTTTGAATTAGATGTGGTACACAATAGTTCAGACAAATATAAAACACTGGTGACTCTCAAAACATCCATGGGAAACTCTTGAGTGTGAGGAGGTGTCCCCTTTGTGCTCTGCCATATTCCTTTGTAGGGAACTTTACTTTAGGGAACTCGATAAAATCTCTCAGCAAGTTTTAAATGAAAAAAATTACCTGAAGAGAGAAATTTCTGTAAAGAACCTATGAACCACTGTCAGCTGCTAAAAATATAAAAGTACTCTAAGTTCCTTCTTTAAAATACCAGATTATAAACTGCATTTAATTGGAAAGACAAGAACTCAAAAGCTTGAAAATACCAGAGCACATGTTATCTGAACATCATGCTCCAGGTCTGTAGCACACATACATTATGACAGTCTTTAATTATATTGATATGTACTACATTCTTCTAGTGGACTCTTTCTTCAGTGTTTAAAAACACCCACTTATTATCCCTTTCTATTCTTTATATGCAGTACACAACCTCAAGGTTCATTTATCCCCCACTATCAAAACTGTGCACAGAATGTAAAGTGATTAATTTTCTCCTAAGTATCTCCGACAGAGTTTCGCCATAACATCTGAGCTTCTTTGTGACCATGAAATTTACCCTCGCTGTGTTCCTCTAAGGTGAGACTGCAATATTATCTGCATTCCGTAGATGGGAAAATGAGTCAGATGAAGGAAGGCACAAACTTTCCATTAATTTTAGTAATACAATCTGAGGGACACAGAAAGCATATTACTCACTTTCCAGCCCTTCACTCTCTTTCAACATCTTCTTGCAATCGCCTCCCAGAAATACAGCCTACCTCAGTGCAGACAAGCATGAAGTGAGGAGTCTGTTGTCACTGGCCATATATGAAGTTTGTTTTAAATTCTGAATCATTCAGAAATTCTGTGGAGGAAACTGAGGAGAAAAGCTAGCCCTCCCAGAGCAGCTTTTAGCTGCCATAACTGTAATAATATCTTCTTCTCTCTATGGCAGTCCCCTGCCTAATTTACTATACAACTATCAGCTTTGCCACAAACGGGGCAGTGTCTAAACATGCTTCAGAGCTTGCCCACTTGAATAATGAATAATCTGCATGAGCTCATAACTCTAGATTCTGGAGAGAAACAGCCACCATGTCCCTAACCTGTCCCTTCCCTCTTATTTATCTGGGCAGAAAAACAAATACAAAAACATATAAATATTGGAGAGAGAGGAAGAAACAGAAATGAGCAGAAGTGAGGAATAAAAGAGAAGAAACAACGGGATTATCTGTTGTTTCAGCATGTCAGCACAATACTTTAAATCTAAAGAAGGCAGTAGGAGTTGTCTGTGGTGATGGTGACAATACGTCATCAAGCAGAGAAATGCAGAGGGCTCTTACTGCAGCATATAGGCCTGGCTGGCGTCCTTTTGTTTGTCAGGTACCTCGTAGTGCGGGGAAATCTTGCCAAGGCCACTGTCGCTCAGCATCCTCTTTCTAACAGCAGGGTTCCACCGATCTGATATTCTAGGAAGGGAAGAAGGAAAAACAAGGCTTAAATCCCAGAAATTATTTCACATGCTCTGCTTTGTAGTTCTTTTACGCTTGTTTATTCCCAGTATTTTTCAGCCTGTTGCAAGCTAGCTTAGCTTAATTCACCATGATTAGAAGACTCTTCCTGAAGAGGAACAGGAGCATTTCTAGTCTGCCTAGAGAACAAGCAGAAACAAAGACACTTCACGGTAATTCTAAGACTCAAAGGACTTCAGGGCCTCAAATATTTGTATCAGAGCCCTGACAGTGCAGAGAATGGTTTCATAACTTGATAGATACAGGTTTCATCATCAGAGGGTGGTAAGGCACTGGCACAGGCTGCCCAGAGAAGCTGTGGAGGTCCCATCTCCAGAGGTGTACAAAGCGAAGTTGGATGGGGCCATGGATGGCAACACCACCCATGGTAGAGAAGCTGAAACTAGATGACCCTAAATGTCCTTTCCAAGCCTGTAATTATCACTGCTGCCCCTGATTCTGCTCCCAGATCTCACACTTTCCTGTATCTCCCAAGCTTTCAGCAGAGGGGATCAGAAAAGGCATGCCAAATTCTGTTGTGGCTGCTGAAGGCCAAATCCCAGCACCACTCACCCAGAGGCCTGCTCCACTACCAGATCAGGCATTCCAGGTGGCGTCCCCCCCTGCTGTGACATTACCAGCTCTGGATCCAGAATAAAAATCTCGTCCTGCGAAATTTCCGTCACAAAGTGCAAATGTTCCTGTTGGAATGATATAACGAACAAATAATGAACCTGTGGCATCAGCGTTCACTCAGAAAGCCCAGCTGGCTATAGGAAATCTGGGAATACATCAGGCTGAAAAGAATTTACGGCACTTGTCTGTGTATTTAAATGCATACATAAACATACCAAGTCAAGTTAGCAATAAGCACTCCTTAGATTTTAAGCCAGACAAGATTCCCAGCCAGCAAGCTTCACACTCACAGCAATGCTTAAGAGGCTGTTGCTCAGTGACTTCTGTCCATCAACACTATTCCACTGAAAACTGGAGGCCTACCCAAAAAACTGAGTCTTACGTGTCCAGCTGAGAACCAACACCTAAGGCTTCAGATGATGGGATTTTTCATTGTTTGGAGATAGTCTCTAAAAACTCAATTGCTTGTACATTCTGGACTTGCATCTTCATTAACAAAGCTCTCTTTTTCAATCCCTCTTTTTGTTCTATTGGCACAGAAGTCCCCTTCAGAAATACTGAGTATGAGAAGGTCTGTCTAAGTAGGAGGATGGGCAGGATAATTTCCCACATTTTGTGCACAGGGACCATCACGCAGTATTTTTTTTTCTTTTCTTATGGAAACACGTGGCAAAGGAGTAGGAGGGAAAGATGACACTGTGCAGAGCCAGAATTAGAAAAATGCAGAATAAACAAAATGAAATGGCATTGCTTGGTTTAGTCTGTAGCAGCATCTTCTTCATCCTTACTTTCAAAATTTTCAAGTACAACTTCATCAACGCATTTATATGACTGCATGCAAAGGCCTTTGGCAGCTACATGCAACACCAAACCCAAGGCTTCTGAGCTAAATTCACAGCTCCTTCTGACTGAAATAAACCACAGTCTGCAGATGTTCATATAATTCAAAAACAGCTTACATTGTTCTCACTGAAACAAGACGCAAGTGACAAATGGGTAAGTCAACAGTTTACATTTCATGCTGAGCCACTAATTGGTCAATTCTGCCTATAAGCTGGGAAACATCAAAAGCTCTGTAAAATTTTCAAAGTGTCTTTCAGAAAATATATTCAGATTGGCAGATCTACACCATGGTTTGAATCTAGTGAAACGACATGTTGTTTTGGGTTTTCTTGGAAATATTTGATACAGCTGTTTATAATTCTCGGCTTCAATCACACTCATTTCTACAGTTATTTCTTGTCACACACATGACCAGGACTTCTGGTGCCTAAAAACATCAGTGAAAAGATAAAATCAAACACACTAATGTAGCACAGATACCCTTACTAAGATATTATAAGGATGATTAATGTAGAATATCCTGATTTGTGTATCAGGTTGGTAGCTAAAAAGAAAACCACTTGATTAGCAGATACAAAACTTCAGTGAGCTCAGTGAAATGATGCAAATTATGTCTACTGAAAAATGGTCCAGAATTTTTTCTCTGCTTTTCATAAGAAATCATCAGCATTCTAGAGTGCACAGGAGCAATGGCAAATCACTTATTTTAATATGTATCTGGCATGGCTTTAAAAAAGATCTACAGAAGCAGTAACCAAATAGAGATTTACCTGAGATCTATCAATGCGGTAAAAACGATCAGCAGAAGTTGCTGCAAAGATAAATAAACAATCAGAAACAAAGCAAGTGTAAGCAGAACTATATGAACAAGATGGGCTGAGCTAGCATCAGCACCATGTAAGAAAACCTCTGTGTCAGTGAAGCCACAACACGATCTGATTCATTCATTATTTCTATATTCCCATTCCACTGAAAAACGAATTTAAAGATGGGATTTGGCAAAACAATATTCATTGAAGCAATTTACTTGAAATAATTATTTAAAACACAGGCAAATAGGGTCTCAGATTTATATAAGAACTACTAATATTAAAATACATGACAGAAAGAGCTGCATTCTTCCAATGACAGTATAGCAAGAACATCATAAAACTGATAGGTCCGATATGATTGATTCAAACAGTGAATCTAAAAAACAATAATATGCTTGGGAATTCCTTGTAAAACAAGTGCTCAAATATTCAGCGTGAATTACTGATACGCTCAAAGAAGATTTACTCTACTCGTGAACAAATTAAAGGAGGGAAGAATCACTAAACAAAGTACCTAATATGAATGTTGGCACTGCTAAATAATATATATCGCTAAAAGCAGAACTATTTTATCACCTTCAGTGTGCTTTATCAGATGTGATATTTTTGTTTCTGCTTTGCATTTAGTTTAGCCAGTGAAATCACAGACTTTTTTTCATTCTGGCATTTCTGCAGAACAGCACAGTGATATAGCACTGTCATTTTTGGCACTGCAAGGGAATATCAAACATCTAAAGACTAAAACTGAATCCATCTGCCCACCCAGCTTTCTCTAAAAATCGAATAGATCCTCAATGTATTTTCTATCAGTTTTCCATCAATTCTATCATGAGAGACGAGGAGAAGTGATTAGAAACTGTCAAGGAGTAACTGGTTTTGTTTTGAGCAATAACAAAATCACTCCCCCCCCATGCTGAAGCTTTTGTAAAAGCAGTTGACCATCCATTTTAGCTGCCCACTTTAGAGCTCTGGAGCCTGATGTAAAGCCCAGATAAGCTGCTCAATTTGGCGAAGTATGAGTCAAATACAAGAGTTACATGCAGTGTCCCCTTCCAGGGGAAAGGGATTACATTTCCTTCACCTAAATACTGCAGTATTTATGGAGAAAGAGTAACAAAGAACATAACCCTGCTGACGGCAGTGTGCTACTACAACCAGGTGTATTCTGAATCCAGGTACTGCCACATAAGTGCTGCATCACAGCAGAGACACTAATAAAACAAAACATCCAACCACTCTTGGAAGAACCCATCTCCTTCAGGAGACGATGCTATGGAAGACATTTTGATTGCTAGTTGAAGGCCCATTTTTCAGAAGGGAAAGGGGGCCACACAGCTCCCTTTTCAGCTTCTCAGCGCAGCAAGGAACAGCTTCTCCTCCCTGGTTGCACTCTTGGATGCACTGTCCTTCACAACTACACCATCAGCAAGCAGCATGCTAGACACAATGAGAGGGAAACACACTTACCATCTAGGAAGCACCATCTAGGAGAGAGCCTCTGAACAGAAAGTACTCTTGGGAAAGAGCTTTCTTGGTCCTGTATTTGTCAGAGAAGCAACATTATTAAAAAAAAAACCCACATATATATATATATTTTTTTTCTATATTGCACAATATGCAAAACCTGCAAAACCAAAATCCACTGGGTCTGCACCCCACTGACATTAGGTTTTTACTGTGCTATAGCAAAGCAAACCATTTACTCTCTATAAGTAAACCTGAAGCACACTCTCAGCTATCCTTTCTCCTTCACCTCAACAATATCAGAATGCACTGCATCAGAAGCAGCTTTCTCAGATGTCTGAAGTCATCTTTGTTTGTTGGGGTAGAAGAATAGGGAGGAGTGAAAGAGAAGATCAAAAAGAAAGCAATGAACTCAATTACTATGTTTGTGTACGTATCACTTTCTCTTCTTCCAGAGTAGGGCATTACAGCCCTTCCCACCTTCATCAGTCTGCCACTTAGAACAAGTGCCCATATTGCTGTCCCTGGCATGTCCCTAATACACATCAGATTTAAAAACAAAAAGAAAAATAAAAAAAAGAAGCTGTTGTCTTCATCCAGAATATAGACAATGCAGAGTGCAGACCTAGGGATCATTGCTGGCTAAGGCATCAGACATCCCACATCAATGTATTCCCAGTCTGTCTAGACAGACCTGCTTCTTGGGACCCAGTTGATACTACATCAAGGAACCAAATGGTTGGGGAAGAACAAAGGGTGTTCCTTGTTTTCTCAGCTCTCACTGATCTGGAGGCAAGAGGGATCTCAGAAAGCAGAAGGTGGTCATGGCTCTGTGCCATGCTGCCAGTGGATGGCCAGCCAGATTCCTAAAGCTGTTGGAACACAACCTAAACACAAATAGATTTGCATAGGACAAAGCACAACAGCACAGCCTGTGGGCACCAACCCAAAATGTGCATAGAGCCAAATTCTGTCCTTAATTATAACTTATGCAGTAAAATCAGCACACCTGCAAATGATGTAAATTCAGGCACATATTCACTCAAGACTGAAATTTACTTCTCCTTAAGACAACAGAGTATGGAAGGCTATATCAATGCACAAAGTGAGAAAATGAGAAAGCAGAAGCAATGGGGAAGAAAGGTGCCTTTGAGAAAAGTACTGCTCTGCACAGGAAGTACAGTATATGATAAGGCATATGGACATATATCCATAACATGGGCACAAGTGGTGAAAACAAACTGATAGAATAGTATCTCACTGGAACTTTTCTGAATATCATATAGATGCCCACCACCTTTCCTGACTGCAGGATGCGGGATTAAAAAAAACAACCTGCACTGGGAATTGTACAGCTCTATCTGGCGAGTAGGTATTTGAGAGTCTACCATCAGAAAGTAAAGACTGACTGAAAGAGTAAGCTCCAAAAAGAGATTTCAGTCAATCGTGGGTTTTCAACCAGGAGGGATGACAGGGTTATGAACGATTAATATCTAGCACAATCCAGAAATCTGTCCTCCAGCTTGTGCTTCAAAGTCATCACTCCAGCCTGAACTACAGCAGACCTTTTAGAAAGGTATCTAGCCCAAGTGACAGACTCCAAGTGACACGAACCCCACCAGTCCCTCAGGCTGTTGGCATCACGTCCAGGGTTTTATACAAGAGTGAAACTGCAGAAATACCAGCAGAGTTAAAATGACAGTATATGGTGCATCATGCACACCCAACACATCTGGAACATTCATACAGATTCTCAGAGTTTTAAAGTTTGCTATATTTTCTTCTGCCTTTACTGTCTGTTGTCTATATCATTAAGAAAACGTAGAAGGGGTGGTTATTTCTCAGCAATTTATCTTACTCTTTTGCAAATCTGACATATTTCTAAAACACTTCTTATCCATGTAGCCATGTGTCAGAAAAAAATTCAGAAAGAAATAAAGAATATATCCATAGAAAAATGGATGTTTCATTGGTTCAACTTCCTAGACTGCCCAGATGTGTCAGTAAGACTGTGAGGAAGAAGCAGGTTGCTTTTTCTACTGGGAGAAAATCTCACAGAATGCTGGAGGAAGTTCTCTTTCAGTCTGGGTGGATAAAATACTGTCCAAAATGATTAAGTACCAAACAATACCATCCTATGTCAAGAGACAGACCTCACTCTTCAATCAACATAATAGTATCCAACATTTTTTGAGCTCTTTGAGAAAAAAATGAGGTCATGCTGCTGTTGTACACATACACAAGTTCTTGGTTTCCCTGAATTCCTGGTCAGCTGAGTGCTTGCATGCACTACCTGTCATTTTCAAGCAGCTGTGATGACAATTAGGACTTCACATTCTGATGGATATTCCTTCGCACAGCCATGTGAATACATCTCAATGCCTTGCAAGATGCCACTGTGAAATCTTTAACAACTGTATTTGATATCATGACAGTTTTTCATGATTCATCTTATTAGCTTCTACTGCAATTGAATGGAACTTCCTATTATTGCTTTTCCTTTCCAGTTATACTGCACAGAAAAACAAAGACAGCTCGGGGAAACCCATGTCATCTTCTCTGTGCCTTAAGATTTTGGAGTGCTGGCAATGAATCTTGTCTGAAATGTTACTGCAGCCACTTACATATTTTGCTTTTATAAAGACTATCTTTTGATCCATAATACCTGCATCTGTATCCAATCTGACAAAAATCAAATCTCAGTTCCCTCCCATATTTGCACTCAGTGATTTTGCTTGATCCCATAAACCTTGTCCTACTGTACAGAGTTTGTCTCCAATTTATGTGCAATACAGGAGAGATGAAGACAGTATAACATTCCAGAGCATGAACTATTTCTATAAATAGTTATAAAAAATGTATATTGGTAGTTAAACTATCAGGTTTAAAATGTAACAATTTCCTTCTCTAACATGAGTTTATGGAGTTGTGAGATGCTTAGGTTTACTTGTATCGTAACTGTGGTAGGAGAGTCAAGGACTTTCTAAAATCTGCTACATTTGCTAATTTCTATTTATCTAAATGCACAGAGCTGTATGTATCTTAACATTTAGCCCACTGTCTGAGGAAAGGTTAGAGCTGGGATACAAAGGACAAAGGGAGGAAAGCACTGAAAGATAAGAACGCATACAAAAATGGCAGATGATGAAAAGAGGAGAAGTGAGTTCTTAGAGTTCTTAGACCTGTCAGAGTACATAATGCTGGGAAAAGGAAGATAGGGATAATGCTGGCAAATACAAAATCAAGTCACAAATTGCATAAGCTCTTTCCAAGAACCCATTATAGTTCAACAGCACAACTAGCTTGGGAGGTCTCAGACCCATGAGAATAATATTTCATATACATTAAACTTGTTAGAGAAAGAAAGCAGAATGAAGAACAAGTCTAACATCATTTTTTGCATTTACACCCAGGCTTGCTGATATTTTTTCTGCTGATTCCCCATGTTTTGAGCTGCAGAAGCATCACGCAAGAAAATCATGTTTATGAGACCTGAAAGTACCCATGACACCTTATTAGCAAGATAAGACAGTTCCATCAACTCAAGAACCCTTTATCCCCTGTTTTCCCCACTTTGGTAATTTATAGACAGATGCTAACAAATGTGGAACGAACCACAGACTAACCTAGCAAGACAGTTCATAGAAACAATCTGCTAGGAATAAAGCAGCATTTGAAGAATCCAGGACAAACAAGTACTGAAGACAAAACTAGAGGGGGGCATTAAAAATACAGCATCATAAAAAATTAATAGCAAGTGAGGGATTTCACACTGATGTGCACTAAAGGAAAAGGCTAGGCAATTAATTTCTATGCTGCTATAACTACAGAGGTTAGGGCCAAGTATGAAGCTGGTTTCTGACATTTCATTCCCTATTTTGTCCCTCCCCATATGCACATATTTAGTTCCTCATTTTACCTCAGGCAGTTTCCTACACATGGAGCACTCAGCAGCCACTTAGGTTAATTTATAAGGAATGGTACAGAATAACACAAGCTGTTTTATTAGCCAATTCACTAGACGCTAGTGCTGTTCCAAAAGTCAGTCCTAGGGCAATGATTGACACAAATGTCAAAACTATGAGGTTAAAATTGGACACAGAAGTGCAGAAGCAAACCACGTACTGGTATGAAGAAAGCAATTTCAGAAAAAGCATGCCAAATTTACATTTTCTTGTAGTGCCTTCCTGAATACAGCACAGTACAGGCAGTCCTGCCAAACTGGAATTCTGTATCACCCAGGTAATCACTAAGGCCCAAGAAATCATCTGCAGTTTCACTACAGTAGGTTCCCATCAGCTGGATCCTTGCATTTTTTCTCAGTGAACTCATTCCTGCTGATCCTAACAAGACTTACATTGTTAAATCTAGGAAAAGGCTATCAACACCATGCACCTTGAGTCTTGTGGTCCTAGACACTTTGTCAATTGACCATTGTTTGTGTCAAGTCTCCATGCTAATGCCAAATTAGCTCAGGAGTCAGTAGATTTAGTCTGAATTATTTTACTCCCAATGTAATCATTCTGCAGCACAATATTTTACTGAGAGCAATACATATTTTCGAATGCTTCCAACTGTAAAGTCAAGTTCTGTATTGTATAAATCAAACAATATAGCTGCAAAATGCACAAAGAGCCCAGTTTTAAAAACTAGCCATCTAAAAAGAGAATGGTCTTGCCACATAGAAAGCGCACATTTGTGTCCAGGATGGATTAAAAAAACTACTCTGAAGATTATGTTAGTCGAGAGGAAAATGGCTGTGGTACAAGTAATTATTAATTGGTTAGGTTTGCTGTACACTTTTCTTCTCAGTGGTAGGTACTGCTGCTTCATCTCTGCAATACAAAAAAATTACTGTTCCTTTTCTCAGAGAAACATCTTTTCTTTTGTCACTTATTTTAAAGGACGCATTCTGTCATTTGCTTCAAGAGGCAGTTTTAAGGATGATTCCATAAGGTTTGCAAGGAAAAAAATTATTTCAGGGAAATCGGAATGAGCCTCCATCATCTGAGGGCAAATGGAAATCAAAAATTCCTGTAAATCTGCATTCAAATGCAAACAGTGTAGTCCACCTGGTTAAACTTGTCTTTGTTCTTCATTTACTAAATGAAGATTTTAAAATCTTACCTGGTAATGAACTCTCTGTGTAGTAGAAGTTGCTGACTGTAGGTCCTAATAGGATGAAAGATATGTCAGTGATGAAATGTTTAAATCAGCAGAAGTTATTGCAGTTCTACTATTTGAAGTGGCTGGCTAAACATCATAGAGTAATTTTGCAAGTATTTCTCATTGGTTTTAAGTATATTAAACAAAGCCACGAAATAGCTAAGGAAAGCTCTCTTAAAGTTTGCATTTACATGCATCTGGTAAAAAACGGTCCAGTTTTAAAAATTTATACAGAGATTATGTTGATGACTTTTTACCTTATCACAGATCTATTTATATATCACAGATCTATGAAAACTATTTAAATTTAGAATATCTGCAGCAAAAAGAAAAAAAAAAAAAAAAGCTAAAAGCCTTAATATTGTCTTTTGTAATCATTTCTGAGTAATTAATACACCAAAGAAAACCCCTGGTATTTTTTCAGGTTTAAAGACAACCTCATGCCAAAGAGGTCATCTCAGTGTTGCAAACATCATCCCAACTACTGTGTTGTAATCTTCCATTCTCGCATGAAAATGGGATGAATGCGGTCCATAGCTCCTGTGCCAACTGGGACAGCCATTCAGAAACTCATGTAAAGGCACCACATTTGTAAATGTTTTTGAAAGATATCACTACAAGTTTATGAAACAGTGAGAGGCACTCTATTAATGAAAATCCACCAGTTTTATCACTAAGTTCGCACACATTTAAAATTATTCAGGTAATGGGGCATTTGGATTCTCAGTTTCCCAGGTTGTACTAAGAGTACCTTCCAGAGACAAAGCATTCAAGAAGATAATAGCTACATTCGTATTAGCTGATATATATTAGCTGATATATATTCTTGTATTTTTTGAAACATCAGTTTGATATCTGTAGTGTTTGTTGGAGTCTCTGTTTATTCCATGACTGTGTTAGAGAATAATATTTGCATAATTAGATCCATTGAAATATCATGATATTTATCCTTACATAATAGAGTTTGTAAACTAATTTGCTCAGAAATTGGTATAAATGCAGCAACGAATGCAGAGAGTGCATGTATTCTGTTCAATTTCAAGAAGAAGCAAACACAACAACACACATCAATTCCTCTATAATTTAAACGGTTTCAGCATGATTTATTTTTTCCTGTTTGGAAAATAATGTTTTGTGTTACTCTGTTTTAATAGCATATCATAGCTCTAAAGTTTTGTTTTCAGTATGAGGCAATACACAATACTCACAATACGAAGTAGTTGCAATCATTAGACCTATACACTGAGGAGTGGAAGGAGCATAATACAGATTAATAAATGATACTTAATTCACAAAAACATTACCTCTTGTAGACGGTCAATATACATACGACAGGTCTCCAAGTCACAATCTCCTCGAACAACTATAATTCCTAAAGGAATGGCTGGAAAATGAAAAACACAGAAAAATGTCTTTAATTGAGGTCTGTTGAATTTTAAAAGATTTGCAGTATGTTTTGTTTTGTTGTTGATTTTCTTAACGTCCTCACTAAAGCTCTCTGCTTACTAAATCTTAACAGTCACTTAAAATCAGGAACATAATATTCATCGTTCGTCTTAACCATTTGTAATTATCAAAGATTCTGGCATTCAACTGCCTTCCATCTCATACAAGCTAAAAGAGATCTAGTAAAATTGTGTACTTCCTTCTCTGATGTAAACACCAATTATTTTTTGCAAGGAAATGTACCACAGAGTATTTCATTTTCAAAACACTTAAGATTCTACAGAGATGATTTAAAGCTTTTGCATTCCACCAGGATTTTGTTTTAAACAGTATTTTTGGGATTTCCTTTTAATCCTCCGGCAGACCTCTCCTGAAACTGTTACTGACACCAAAGAATAGGGCTGCTTCTGCTTTCCAGCCTTAGCTTATTGGTTTATTGACTTAAAATTAAAGAGGTATTTATTTATTACTATATAATGAAACCTTTACTTCAGCAGGAGAAAAAAATGATGACAATAAACTGCAGCAAATTAATTCACTACATTTTATGATAGGATTTAAGGAAAAAAGCATACTCAGAGGTTATCGGCTTCAACTTTATATCTCCAAAGTAAAATTACATCCACAGTAAAAGCAAACAAAGTTACAGAGTATCCCTGAGGTCGCAGTCTGACATAGGAGAAAACTAGTATCATGTTATTTTGATGTAAGTGTGCTTTTAAATAAAAACAGGCATTGTTCCATTTGCACACAAAACTTACACATGTCCACAATGTCTTAAAGGAAAAGAAAGGGAAAGGAGGGAAGGAGGGAAGGAGGGAAGGAGGGAAGGAGGAAAGGAGCAAAAAATACAGCAAATAAGTCCCCTCAGCCAAAGGTAGCATTTCAGAGAATGAGGAGTTTAGATTTCCACAACTATTCTTTCAGACTCTAGGTTTTCTTTGTTAAACAAAAAAAAAAAGCAAAGATGGGAGAAAAAGTACACATGAGTCTACTAGGAAGGTACCGAGAGAGCTGCCTGCTAAAATCTTTTTAAATAGAAAGGAAACAAGTACAAAAATTCTTAAGCACATGAATGTCTGAAACTGAATCATAACATTATTTTCTTCTCCCTCAAGGGTCTTTAGTCAAATGTTGCCCCCAAAAGCAGGGAAGCAGCAGGAAATGGATTTAAATCATCATATGAAGTATTCCAGAGGGAGAGAAGAATATCAGCTCACAAACAATTTTGGTAACTGAATAACAAAAAGCAACTTAATGTCATTGACATTACTGAGACATTACAGTACTGAGACAAACAGAAAGAACAACTGTGCTGCAATTCCTCATATCACTCAAGGGGGCTTAACTAAGAGTGGCCCTGAGATGCTTATCTGTTGGGAAGCTCTTCATTCTAATAAAGGAACAGGTTAGTGATAACACATAATGGGGAACACTTCCATGGCTCATTTTCCTTGTGGCCCACCAAGGCTGGAAGCATAATGAGAAATGAGTGGTCTCAAGGAGAAGACAGGAAGCAGCTACAAGACTGAAGGGCATAATGGAGCTCAGAGGCCAGTGAAGGGCTCCAAAGATACATCACCAGCTCTGTCAGCATCGTGTTCAGAAAGCAATGTAAACAGCAGAGCAGATATGACTCTCAGAAAACCAGAAGCAGAGGAAGGAAAAAATGGTAGGGAGGGAGGAAAAAAAAGGAAAAGAAAGAAGGGCTAAAAAGGAAAATGAGAGAAGCAAAGCCCATGCTACTTATCAAATAACGCATCTAACAGTAATCCCTATCCAGCTTGTTTTCAGAAAGCCTAGCAAACAACACTGCTTATTGCAACCTCCAGGGTTTTTTCATTACTCAACAGAGCTTGTGAGACAAGTTAAGTGGAATGAGGGTCAATGGTCAGGTCTGCTTTATGTATACCGACACTCTGAGTTACAGACTGATTCCCTTTACTTTGTGTTTGCTGGTGCTTAACCTGCTCTGACAGGAGACCCTTATGCTCTTGGCAACAAGCACTTAATGACCATCTAGTTTTAATTCAGTAAATCCCTCTGCAGCCCTTATTGAAAGGGCTGAGATTTTTTAGAGCACTAAAAAGTGAATTGCAGCAGACACGACTGTATCTTGAACAGTTTCAGAGCACTAGGGAGATACAACATTGGTTCATAAATTGTCACCACACATTTTGTCCCTTTTGTATTGAATAACTTCCTGCAATTTAACAGGGTCCAGAGCTTTAACCCACTGAAACTTTGGAACTAACACAGAATGACAATCCTTAATCTCCACCACTGCTGATAGCCCTGAGCAGAAGGACCTTATAAACACTGGGAATTCTAAAGAAATTCACCAAATCACCTGTAAAGAAAGCACTAGTATGCAATAATAGATGGCTGAGCTGTGACGCTTCTGAGCCTTATCTGCATCATTACAGATGAAGATTATAATCCGTTAGTATAATTAATTATCTACATTTTGTACACCAATCACATGTATAATTTGCTCTTAAAAAGGGATGTGTGACTTCTGCCTGGAAATCCTGAACCAGTACATCTGGTTTTGTGGGTCAATGGCTAGCTAAGGGATAAGATGTGTGAGGTAAGTCCTGTATGGTTCCGTCCCACATGGTTTTGTTCAATTAAAAAACTAAATTTTAAAGTCATTACTGAATAACATTACTTCATATGTTAAAACGTTGCTTGATAAATGTTAGTGGGGGGCTTTGTGTTGTTTACTCTTTGTTGTTGTGAAACTCATTTGCCTTCCAGCAAGTGAAATGTTTCCAGCCCTCACTTGTACCATAAACCACAGTAAGCATGCACAACACATTATACAGCCAAGATTTTTGAAGTGCCTCAAAATAGCAGCTTTTTGAAAACCCTTCAAGCCCATACAGATTTAAACTGCAGGACTGTTGCTTGTTCTAAACATAGGGCAACACTGTGCAGTGGGGCCAGAATCACAGAACTATTAAGGTTGGAAAGGATCTAAGATCATCTAGTCCAAGCATTAAATGAGGTAAATTATGGTGAATCAGGTAAAGACGTAAGGTTAATGTGCATGCACCGCTTGACATGGAATGTCATTGTAAACATTTTCACTAGGGAATTAGTGGACTTCTGTCTTTTTTGAATAGCTCTGTGTGGATAAGGATGTGAGCAGCAAAAGCCAGTGCTGTGGGACACAGTGATTACTGGACATGTTAGGTGAAAGGTGGGAGTGGAAAACAAAATTTTGCAGTCTTGCATGTATTAAGAGCACAAACAATGCAGAGCAGCTTTCCTAGACACCCGCAGATTATCCACTCCTGTGACAACACAGACATATCCACGTATGGAAATATGCCAAACATAGGATAGTCTCAGACCACAGGCCAAGCCACAGCATTCAGGAGACAGATTTTTTTCTCCTGAGGCGCCTGCTCTTCTGACTGCTTGCATCTAACTCCCAGCTTCTTTGTGTTCCCTGAATGGTGAAAAGAACTTTATCCAGGGAGCTGTGGATACGTACTCTAACACTGCATGGATAAGCAGCAGTGCAGGAACCCCAGGAGATGAGACAGCCAGGCAGTTGCTTCATATTCTGAACCAGCACTGCGGAAAGTTTTTTGTTCCTAGCAATGCTGACTGAAATCAAGAGTCAGCAGGAGGAGAGTGAGGTAGATGCAGCAGTATGACTAGCGTAATGCTCTAATAACTGCAAGATTAGTAGCACTTTCTTAAGCTCTCATGAAATTACCTACGGAATTTATGTAAACAAAGAAGAAATCTTCTATTAAGTGCCCATTATGTTGAATACCTAAAGCTAGTGAACTCTTCAGCAGTACCAAGAACACTGCCTGAACACTGCATACTAAACCATCAAGAAAAATTCAATTAACTTCCCCATTTATTGTTATGAAAGTATTCAATTTGTGATCTAAACACCATGATTAACCCACTCAAATCTCAAATAAGACAGCCTCAAGGCAGATCATTAAGGTAGATATGAACGCCAGAAAAACTCATTCCAACACTGACATATACCTCAGGGGAATGGGGAGATTAGACATGGGGCTGTAAATGTTTAATGTAGCAAATAAAGGATCCTCACTACTGGAAATGTTATAAAAACATCATTTTCCTGAGGGGTTTTTGCTGATATTAGAAATGTGAAGAACCAAGTAAGTTCTTGTGAGAGAATTCTAAGATATTCAGACACTTAAATTAAGAGATTTCTCCACTGTGGTTTTAACACAACTGAGTTTCCACAAAAGGATTTTTTTTCCAAAATAAATCTATGCCATACATCTCCTCAGATACCTTTCATTTATTCTACTGACAGAATCAAAGCCTTCTTTGGTTGCTTGGCTGGTTGTTGGTTTTTTTAATACTAGTGTTTCAGTACTAAAATCATCATATATTTGTGCATAAAATGCAACGGACGTTACCAGACTGAAAGAGCACATTTGAGAGGGTCATCCCCTCCAGAATGTCAGTTCTCCAACACACAGACATAGTAAAAAAAAGCTGTCTGTCAAATGCGAAGGGAAATTGTCCCAGATACCAGATGAAAAAGAACGGGTTAAAGAACGACTATTAAAAGTTTGGAATTGAGACTGGTAAGGAAGAGATATTGGGATTAAGAGCTGAAAGAAGAGATCTGGCTGAACAATGCCTAGGAGTTTACATTTAAGAAAAAGAACAGGAACCTGAGCTGTAAAATCTATAGAGACAGACAAAGATGAACAGGAAGAAAATGAGTGCTGAAGAAGAATAGGATTGAAAACATAAGAAGAAATCAAACAAGGAAAGTGATAGAAAAAGAAACAGCAGAAGAGAAGTATGCAGAAAAATCTATGCCATAAAGCCTAATTAAAATGTGATTTCCTGGAAGGTCTGGAATGGAACTCACTGTTTTTGTCTCTCAGTCCGGTGGGGTTAATAGGCTAATATATGCTAACAAAA